GGAGAGAGAGAAAAAAATCAATGATGAGAGAGAATCATTGATCGGCTGCCTCCCACATGCCCCGCATGGAGCCTGCAACCTGACATGTGCCCTGACGGGAATAGAACGGTGACCTCCTGGTTGATGCTCAACCACCGAACCACGCCGGCCAGGCTGAAACCATCTTTGTGGAGGTTTGTCTACTCATTTCTCCTTCTCCTGCAATATCCACTCCATGAGGCCAGGATCTTATCTGCCTCGCTCGCTACTACCCTCCCTCCTAGGGCCCAGGACAGTGGGGACAGATGGAAGTGATCATGTTTGAATGTATGTATGTATGTTTGAAAACCTGAATACACGGACATATGATGGGACTGACAAGTGTCCACATTCATTCCACAAGCCTCACAAAAGGTGCTCACACACAGGCACAACAGAGGTTTGGTTAACTGGACCAGTCGCACCAATGTCTCTGAACGGGACCCCTAACCTACCCCCGCGAGGACTTCTCCATGTGAACACACATGTGCACATACAAAGGACGGCCTGCCCACTCCAGCCTGCTGCCTGGAGCTGTAGCGAAGGTTTACTGGGACGCAGACATGATTGGGCTCTCTGAGGCTGCTTTTTTTTTTTTTTCCTACCAGGGGAGACCTGAGTAGTTGCGCCAACGACTGTATGTGCTGAAAATACTTACCATCTGGGCTTTTAAGAAGTTTGACAGACCCTGAGCTTGCAAAAAATAGGAAAGTGTAGTGTTACGACTCTGCCTGCCCAGCTGGTGTGGCTCAGTTGGTTGAGCGTTGTCCTGTGCCCTGAAAAGTCACCAGTTCAATTCCCGGTCAGGGCATGTGCCCGGGTTGTGGGTTTGGTCTCCAGTCAGGGTGCAGAGGGAAGGAAACCGATCAACGTTTCGCTCTCACATTGATGTTTCTCTCTCTCCTCCCCCCCCCCCCCCACTTCCTCTCTCTCTAAACTCATTAAAAACATTTTTTTAAAAAACAGTTTTCCTGGCCCTGGCCAGTGTGGCTCAGTGGATAGAGTGTCGGCCTTCGGACTGAAGGGTCCCGGGTTCGATTCCGGTCAAGGGCATGTACCTTGGTTGAGGGCACATCCTCAGTAGGGAGTGTGCAGGAGGCAGCTGATCGATGTTTCTCTCTCGTCGATGTTTCTAACTCTCTATCCCTCTCCCTTCCTCTCTGTAAAAATATCAATAAAATATATATTTAAAAAAAATAAAGTTTCCCTGAAAACTGCATGAGCGTACGTGCAGAGCTGACACAGACACTCACCGGTAAAGATGGCAGCTGTGTTTTATTCAGGCCCCGTTGTGTGCTAGGCTTCTGCTGAATGCGCTCAGTGTGTTGTCTCCAGTAATTTCGCTCTCATTACAATGCCACGAGTAAGCTGCGACTGCTGAGGCTGGCTGAGGTCCATTTGCCGGGTCAGCATGGTCCGTGACAAACCCAGAATTCAAACCCAGATCCAGGTCTGTGCCCTGACACCTGGTTTGTATCCACTGTGCTGGGCAGCTTCCAGGGAGAGCACTTTCCAGCCCCCCAAGCCGCGCCCTCGGACACCGGTCCGTCTCCTCGCTGTCCTCAGAAGTCCCCCGGACACCCCCACTTCCTTGGGGGTACTTAGGCCGCTCCTTCTATCATGAATGCCAGCTTCCTCTCTTTCTCTGAATTCCACCCATTTGTCAGACTCAGTTAAGTCCTCCTCTGGGGCTTCTACTTCTGTAATGATTTTTGAAATTCTCCCTCCAACCAATGTACAGGCTGTCGGGGCGAGGAGATTGGGTGCGGGGGACAGAGGCTGCCTCTCACAGCCAAAGCCTTCGCTCACATGGCACCTGCATCAGCAGACACGGTCCCCAACACCGCAGCAAACCTGCTTCCGCCCTGGAGGGGATGCTATTCCATTAGCACCACGGGCCGATGCAAAAGGCCTTTGATTCGGATGTTTCTCTTGAACTATGAACAAATCAGCAACCACAAGCTCTCTTATCCGCGCCTGGGATGTTTCTGCTACTCTCTCCCTTTTGAGAACACGTGGAACTTGCTTTCACTGTGACCATTCTCATTGACCTGCGCTCCCTATTAAACTCTTCTCTCTCTTTAATCCCCCGGGAACCCTGCCTCCGAGAACACAGGTTCCCTCGGATCCCGGTGGCTAACAGCTGCCTCACCTCTCTGGTGTCACAGTGTGTGTTCACCATCACAGAATCCAGGTGGGAAGATAGCTGAACTTACCAACAGGCCTGGGGAGAGGGGTGGTATACACTTGGGGGTGAAGCGGCTGGGAGGGGAACCTGGAACCGGAGAGGGGGGCTTCTGGGATGACGGCTATGTTCTGATTCTGGATCTAGGTGCTGCGTGTGTGAATGTTTCCACTCTGTGAGAACTCACCCAGGTATACAGGAGTGTAGGTATATTCTACTTCGATAAAAAGTCTAAACTACCCTCTCCCAACACAGTTATACACAATGAATCCTTAAACTTTTTTTGCAGAAATACACATCTCATTTTTTCTTTTTAAAAATTTTTTAACAACTATATATTTTTATTGATTTCAGAGGAAGAGAGAGGGAGAGAGAGACAGAAACATCAATGATGAAGGAGAATCATTGATCAGCTGCCTCCTGCACGCCCCACACTGGGGATGGAGCCCGTAACCTGGGCATGTGCCCCACCAGGAAGCTAACTGTGGCCTCCTGATCACAGATGGACAACCACGTACGCTGCAGACTGAGCCACAGCAGCGGGGCCACATCTCATTTTCTTTATGCAACAAGGATCCGGAGGCCGTTTCACTAGCGGTGCATGGAAGGAAAAGGTGGAGCCACTCTCACGGGCTGGACAAGTGTAAGTGACACTGGTGTTCCCGGGCAGATCTGCCCCCAAGACCGCAGCCCGCACCGCCTCCTGCTGCAACCGAACCAACCGATTCCTACGAGAAGCAGATCCTCAGGAAACCAAAGGCACCTCATGGTGCAAGAATCATAAAACAGTTCTCTGAGACACAGCACACGAAGGAAGCAGGCGGCAAGTCCAGAGGGTTGTTGTACAACCTTTAGGTGGCGAGGCACTAAGCCGTCTTCAGATCTTATAAAAGTAAGGAATTATTAACTCCATGACAAACAAACAGAAACGACCACTTAGCTACAGACTGAACGTGTGTCCCCCAGGTTCAGAGGCTGAAGTCCTGACCCCCAATGGGGTGGGATGAGGAGTTGGGCCTTTGGGAGGTGCTAGGTCGAGGGTGGCAGCCTTACCAAAGAAACCCCGGAGAGTCCTCACACCCCTTCCCCCTGTGAGGACACGGAGAGAGCAGTGGTCTTCGCCCGGAGGAGGGGAACTGTGACCTGTGACCAATAAGTGCATGTTGTTTTATAGCCACCCAAACAGACGAAGACAACTTACCCACTGAGACCGGGTCAAGCATCGTGCCAAACACTCTACATACATCCTCTCCTTAACTCTCCAAAACGACCCTGATTTTATCCCTGCTTTACAGGGGGACAAACCGAGGTGTGGCGAGGCGGCGGAACCTACCCAAGATTACAGGGTTATTAACGGGCAGGGCAGGGGTTCAACCCAGGCAGCTAGACTCCAGAATCCATGCCCGATGCCAGGATGCCAGTCAGTCAGGCCCTCCCTGGCGACGCACCCAGGGATGGGTTTCTGGGTTTCTCGTGTGCGACTTGCATCGTCTGGCGTTCATTACGGCTCAATAAAACGTGCCTGTCCCAGCCCATACAATGATAAGAACTTTGACAACTCCTTCACAATTCACTGATTTACGGAGGTGTCTCTGCCTTCAAAAATATCCATGTTTACACTGATGACAACGTGTCCCTGTCCGCCGCCTTGATACCTGGAAACCCAAAGACGCAAGGCCTGGCCTACCTGAGGCCGTAACCAGCCCAGATCAGATCAGTAAAGTCAGCAATCTTTCCCTTCCATTGCGAAAGGCGTATTGCGTTTTAACAGAGTCTTGGCTCATTCTGCATTCCTTGGGTAGGCAAAACCTACACCCCAATCGCCTTAGCAAAGCTGGGGGTGGGGGGGGGGGAATGAGAGAAATAAAACTTTGGTTGGATGCCTGCAATGGAACTTTTAGTTGTGCTTTTTAGAGGGATATGTTAGTAAGAGCATTTCCAATCTTTTTAAGCCACGCGGACCTTTACGAAAGGTAAAATTGCTTGCCTATGGTACTACTTTCGAGGCATTTAAATGGGGAAAAGCTATTTAAATATAACGGTTGACTCAATTAACTTCCTTCATTTGGTGTGTTGGAGTGGTCAAATCCTCGGACGACCCCTCCACCCCAAGTCACCCCACCCGCACCCTCCAGTTTCCGAGACTGAGACGGGTGATGGAGGAATTCAAGCCGAAGAACAAAATCCAGCGACATCCTGAAATGCTCGTCGCGTCTAGCCTGGTTTTACCGACCCGCATTCTACCTTCTAGACGGGACCCTTTCTTTCCCAGGAGCGGACTCCCGCCGACAGCCGCGCCCGCGATAGGGAATGCGGTCTTTCCGCCTGGAAATGGGCCCACGGTCTCAGGGGCTGGGAGCCCCACGCAGCGCGCGTCCGCGGTGTCGCTGGGTCCTGGGGGTCCGCCAACAAATGCACCCCAGGGCGCAGGCTCCGAGAAGCCCCTCCGAACTGCCGGTGATCGGGCGGCTTCCCGGGACCGGAGGCGATGCCCCGGAGCCGTGCGAGGCGGGGGGAGGCCGGGGGCAGGGACGCGGCGATGCCGCGCGGGGTCCCCCAGGGCTTCGCCGCGGCTCGAGGGGGGCAGGGGGCCCGGGGCGGCGGGGGCAGCGCGGAGGATGCTGAGCTCGACTCCGTCCTTTAAAAATAGCCCGAGGCCGCGCTCACGTGAGCGCCCCGCGCCCCGCGGCGGCCGGACGGGCGGGCGGCGGGCAGGGCGGGGGCCGACGGGGCGAGCGGGGGACCGGCCGGGAGCGGCCCGGGCGGGCGGGGCGGCCGGGCGCCGGGCCGCGCTCACCTTCTTCACCGACAGCGAGATGTTCTCCAGGATCCGGTCCTTCACCTCCCGCGGCTCCATGGCGCCGCCGCCCCGCCGCCGCCGCTTCCCGCGCCGCGGGCCCGGGGCCGCCGCCAACCGCTGCGGCCGGCCGTGCGGGGGCTCCGTCGTGCCGGCCGCGGGCCCGGCGCCCGCCCGGCCTCGCCTCCCGGCCCCTCGCTCCCGGCCCGGGCTCCGAGCGCCGGCGGGAAGGAGGCCGCGGGCGGCGGCGGAACTGATGTCAGCGGGGCGGCGCCTGGGGGCGGGCGCGTCCGGGCCGGGGACCCGGGGACCGGAGGCTCCCGTCAGCGCGCAGACCGGGGACCCGACACCCCGACACCCCGACACCCCACTCAGTCCGCTGACCCGGAGACTCCCATCAGCGCCCAGACCCGGGGACCCCGACACCCCACTCAGTCCGCCGACCCCGGGGACCCGACACCCCGACACCGCGACACCCCACTCAGTCCGCTGACCCCGGAGACTCCCATCAGCGCCCAGACCCGGGGACCCCGACACCGCGACACCCCACTCAGTCCTCTGACCCGGAGACTCCCATCAGCGCCCAGACCCAGGGACCCCGACACCCCACTCAGTCCGCCGACCCCGGGGACCCGACACCCCACTCAGTCCGCTGACCCCGACACCCCGACACCCCACTCAGTCCTCTGACCCGGGGACCCGGAGACTCCCATCAGCTCAGAGACCCTGGGGACCCCGGAGACACTCACATTATCCGTCCCGCCAGCTGAAGACTCAGCCCGCAGACCCCCCCAACACTCTCCCCTTCCTTTTCTTATAATTTTTTTTTTACATTTTTATTTATTGATTAATTGATTTTAGAGAAAGACAGACATCTATTTGTTGTTCCACTTATTTATGCATTCATTGGTTGTTTGTTTTTTTTAATCCTCAGCCAAGGATATTTTTCCCACTGATTTTCAGAAGAGTGGAAGGGAGGGAGGGAGACATCAGTCCCACAGGGAGAGACACATCAAGGGGGGCCTCCTGCAGGCGCCCCCAACTGGGGGACTGGGGCAGGGACCCACCTGCAGCCCAGGTACCTGCCCTTGACTGGGAATTGAACCCTTCCGAGCGCAGGCTGGTGCTCTAACCACTGAACTCGCTGGCCAGGGCCACAGAGACGGCTGCCATGCTGGGACCCCAGCCCCCCTCCAGTGCACAGGCCTAGGCCCCAGGCACTGAGGAGCCTAGAGACCCCAGCACCCCGACCTTGACCTGCCCACAGCCCCCAGCCCCCTGGCCCTCACTGGCCACCCTGGCCCTGCAGTCCTCAGTTCCTTACCCTCACGCTCAGTCCTACACTTTCAGGCCATGTCAGGTCCTTGGTGCCCCTCCTCACCCCAAACACCCTCTACTCCACCTGCAGCCCCAGCGCCCTTCCTCCTCTCACCATCCCACTGCTTCAGGGTCACACTCCCTGTGGGCGCCAACTCCCTCAGCCTGAAACCCACAGCACTGCTACCCCTCCCCCACCGCTCCCCTCCCCCTCAGACACCGCTCTCCTACCTGGCTCACTTCACTCCTTTGGTCCCAAATAAATATATTCCTTTAGTCTCTCCTTTTTATTCTTTTTACAAATGTCAATATATACTTATTTTTCACTTCCAAAAAATTTAGATATAGCTGACATAACATTAGTTTCAGGTATGCAACACGATTCAAGACATGTATATATTGCAAAATGATCACTCCCCTTTTTATGCTTAAGACACCCCATTTCTCAACTTCAGCTCCCCAGTTTTTCCTCTTCTCTGCTGAGGTTACCCCTCCCGCCGCCTCCCACACTTAGTCACCCTGGCACCTACCTGAAACACTGATCCTACAGCTTGTTCTAGTCATGGGTGGGGAGCCTTTTTCCTGCCAAGGCCCATTTGGATATTTATAACATAATGATTTCTCTGGCCTTATACAGCCCCGGTCCTTGCTGCCCCTCCCCACCTCCAAAACACCCTACTCCCCTCAGACATTCCCCATCCCTGTCCTAGATGGGCCTCACCCCATACACTCCCAAGACCCCCCACCCCTCAGTTTCTCCAGGGGACACCCAAGATGGCAGTAGTTGTTTTGTTTTGTTTTGATGTGACTGAATAGGGGACGAGTGTGTGTCAGGAAAAGGAAAGAGAACTAACTACTTGAGAAACTGGGCTCGCCGCATTCTGTCACCACCTCACGACCCAGGGCGAGAGCTGCTCATGGGAACGATGATGGCGATGATGACGTGTTGGATGCTGACTTGTACCACACACTGAACCAAGTGCCTACATTTGTCTCATGGGTCCCCCCAGCATTCCTGTACAGATGACATGGGCGGATGGGCTAATTTGCCTAAAACCAGACAGCAAATGGTGGAGCCCAGAAACCATTTGTATCCTTTTCTGACCTAAAGATCCCTTTTCATTTCTTCATGTTATTCTAGGAGGTGACCCCTTTGGCCTAACCAGTGGTCGGCAAACTCATTAGTCAACAGAGCCAAATACCAACAGTACAACGACTGAAATTTCTTTTGAGAGCCAAATTTTTTAAACAAACTATATAGGTAGGTACATTGTTATGAACTTAATTAGGGTACTCCTAAGGCTTAGGAAGAGCCACACTCAAGGGGCCAAAGAGCCGCAGTTTGCCGACCACGGGCCTAACCCTTTAGGGAAGGAAGTAAGATCTCTGAACCCAGGGCATTTTCTCATTAGTTTAAAAAAATAAAGAGATGGCCTCCGTGGAGGTGGGCAGGGGCAGAATGACAGGTGGGGATGGAGGCTGCAGCTACTGAACGGGTGGAGCAGAGGCGGACAGCAGAGGACACATCACTTTGAATAAGGAAAGAAACAGTCGGGTGTCTGAAGTGTTTGTGGCGAGGAGGAGGAAAGCCGGCTCGAATGGCCAGTCTCATAGCTGTGGTGCACTCCCTTCCTACTCCACCCGCGTTAGGGTGCGTACAGGCCCCAACCTGTTGGGTGCAACCCTAGCTCATGAGAAGCCATTTAACCCAGAGTGGAACCAACTGGCTTTGTCATTCCACTGTGAAGCAGCAAGCCCTCTTTGGGCAGCACCTTCTGCCGGGCGCCACCTTCCTGCCATGTTGCGTGGGCACTTGACAGCTTCCACAGGTGCGTGTTTTCATCACTTGGCTGTTCCCCTGTGCTGTGAGGTGATGGCATTTCTGCCCTATTGCTTTCGTCGTCGCACACTGGGTAAGGTTACAATCAACTTTTTACAACCTGCAGGAGCAGCATCCGGTCTCAGGGCCTATCAAATCCCTAAGGTTTGCATGGGTATGAGAGTGGGTGGGAGAAGAAAGTCTTAATCTCACAAGGCTTTTTTGCAGGAAAGGGGAGAGGGGGGCCCCGTGTGGGTGTCCATGTGCAGGTAAAGGTCCCATGCCTGGAACTTGAATGTGGAATCCATCCTTGCCTGTCAAACACAAGGCAATTCAAACGCAAACAAACACCCACAACCAGGACGCCTATCAATCCTGTTATGGGGAGTCATTTACACTCACAATTGAAGCCCAGTCATTTATTGCACAACCCTTGGCGGATCACATGTGAAGGGCACGAGACTCTGAGGCATCGGAATCAAAAGCTTCGACTGACTCATGCGAGGGCCTCGAGCAAATCACTGTCTTCGTTTCCAAATCAGTGACACAGGAACAATGATTTCGTTGTTGTTGTTCCTCTTCTCCCCTTCCTCCTCCTCCTTCTTCATTTAATTTTGTCCTCACCTAAGTCTCCGACTGCTGAACTACATCCGATGAAGGAAGAAGTTGGGGAGAAAGGCAAGATCCTAGAGAGACCATAGCCCTGGCCCACGTCTCCTTTACACTTCTTCCTGAAGCTGTGCTATGCCTCAGAGAGGAACCAGAAAGTAATTCTGGCACCTTCATCCTCACATCCTGAAACGGTCACTGGACAGGACTGTCAAAAAAGGTGCAGGATGGTTTAAAGGACTAATTCCTCTCTTTCCCCCCCCAACTCAAGGCAAATATATTTGTTCCCAAAGGAGGGAATAAATATAGGGTGTCCCCCAAAAATGTATACACACTGTAAGAGCTGAAAGCTCAGTTTTGAAAATGAAATGTATTTTTTAAAAATATTTTTTTATTGATTTCAGAGAGGAAGGGAGAGAGATTAGAAACATCAATGACAGAGTCATTGATTGGCTGCCTCCTGCATGCCCCCCCACTGGGGATCAAGCCTGCAACCCAGGCATGTGCCCTTGACCAGAATCGAACCCGGGACCCTTCAGTGCACAGGCTGATGTTCTATCCACTGAGCCAAACCAGCTAGGGCTGAAATGTATTTTCATAAACACTGCCTTTATAATTATTCAAATGTGTGTATACATTTTTGGGGGACACCCTATATTTACTCTCCAACAGGCTTGTGAAGCTGATTCCCATCTGAGAGAGGGAGGTAGGAGGGGCTGGTTGTACATAACAGCAGTGGTTCTGCAAGTGCAATCTACAGCTCTAGGACTGAGTAAACCAAAACAAGGCAGCTTTAATCTAGGTGATTTTATTTAAAAAATATTTTTTATTGGTTTCAGAGAGGAAGGGAGAGGGAAAGGGAGAGGGAAAAAGAGATAGAAACATCAATGATGAGAGAGAATCACTGATCAGCTGCTTCCTACAGGTCTCACACTGGGGATCGAGCCTGCAACCTGAGCATGTGCCCTGACCTGGAATCAAACCCGGACCTCCTGGTTCATAGGTCGACGCTCAACCACTGAGCCTCACAGGCCTGACTCTAGGTGATTTTATTTTAAAATGTTGAACAGCCGAAACCGGTTTGGCTCAGTGGATAGAGCGTCGGCCTGTGGACTGAAGGGTCCCAGGTTCGATTCCGGTCAAAGGTATGTACCTCGGTTGCGGGCATATCCCCAGTAGGAGATGTGCAGGAGGCAGCTGATCGATGTTTCTCTTATCGATGTTTCTAACTCTCTATCTCCCTCCCTTCCTCTCTATAAAAAATCAATAAAATATATTTAAAAAAAAAATAAAAAGTTGAACATCAGTCCCTTCCTCAGTACTGTCCAGTCAGCAAGATGGGGTTGGTGAAAATGGGGATATCACCCAACCTCCTGGCTTAAAAGCCTCCAACAGCTTCCTGTCATAGCATCTGGACTGACATCCATACTCTTTTCTCTGGCCTCCAAGGCCATAGCTGATTTGAT